TAATGTTACCAACAATCTTTTATTGAATAAATATCTCCTGATATTTTTACATTTTGCATTTATCAGACTGGACATGCTGAATTTAATGTCTAAGAATATTCAGCTCAAAATTTGCAAGAGAGGCAGGGGGTGATGTGAGATCTCAGAAATTAGGTCTGGATATAGAAATCTGGGAATCATAGAGATAAAAATTGAACTCCTAGGTGTTGATGAGATCATTAAGAAAGTATAGGAGGAAATGGCTTAGGATAGAGTATTGAGAGACACCCTCGCATAAACAACTCCCAAAAGGATTAGTGGATGTGACTGGGAGGAAATTCCAGTAATGCGACTGAGGAGTGGTCAGACAGGCAGGAGAAGACTTAGATGATTGCAGTATCATAAAAAAAATTAGAAAAGAGAGAATATCAGGGAGTAGAAGATTTACATTGTCAGAGCCACCAGAGAGGACAGGAAGGATGAAGGTTGAGAAAAGGCCATTAGATTTGGGAATTAAGAGATCATTGGTAACCTTGGAGAGAGTAGTTTTAATTGAATGATGTCAGAAGCTAGAAAACAGACAGAGGGATTAGAAGCAAATTACAAAACAAGATCTGGAAGTACCTAATGTAGATGGCTTTCTTAAGGAGTTTAGCCATGAAGGGGAGGAAATAAATAGGACTGTAGCTAGCAGGGATTGTTGGGTCAGCTAAGAATGGGGCAGAGGGGAGGACTGGGCTTGGGTTTGTTTGTAGGCAGCAAGGAAGCAGCCAGTAGATTGAGAAAGACTGAATATTAGCAAATAGAGATGATAGAGGGAGAAATGTGCTGTAGTAGACGGAAGAGAATGGGATCATTCTAGTAGAGTTTACCTTGGGAAGGAGAAGAGTTATCTCTTCATGTGAGATAGGAGTGAAGAAAGAAATTATGGGGGAAGATGTCTGCGTAATGTGAGATGAGAGAAGAAGAGGGTGCTTTTGGTGATGGCCTCATTTTTTTCAGTGAAGAATAAGTCAAGATCTTCAGGTAAAGGGGGTTGAGTGACAGGATTCTGGGGAAAGCTTGAAGAGGGATGAAAAGGTTTGGAATAGGTGCTGTGATGAGTGGGATATTGAATTGATTGGGGAGGTGTAAAAGGATTGCTTTTCTTCAGTGAAGTTGAGATTATTTAACATAAATTTATGTTGAACCTAGTCAGCATGGTTTCATGATTTTTCTCTGCTTTGTTTAGCAGTATGTGAGTAGTAGCGAATAGTGAGAATAGTCCAAGGTTGTGGTTTGACGTAGGGAAGGGGGAAAGTGTAGAGGATTTCATTGAATTCACCAAGGGGGCTTGATAGGGAAGGGATGAAAATATTGCTGGTATAGGGGTGATAGCCTGAGAAAGAACTGAAGGGTGGAGAGACTTTGAGGTCATGGTGTGGATGTATGAATAGGATTAGAAGGTAGTAATAAGACTGAGGGAAAGATAGAATTATAAAAGATTATGATGAAATAAATGGTATAAGACATACCATTATATAATATGCCTACTTTCTATCATTTTGTTTTCTGGTGTTTTAGATTGCATGTACAATTGACTAATCTGTTCTTTTTCTTTTTCCTTTTTTGAAAATTTTTTTGAATCAAGTTGTTAAGAGAGAGAGAATTTCCCTCTAGAATTGCTTTGGCTTTGGTATATTTTTCCATTGGCATTTTCATATGTGGTATGGTTTCTTGTATGTTCTCACGTTATGATGTTATTTTATTTTCTTTTGTTTCTTTGATTTGTTCTTTGACCCACAGATTGTTTGGGATTACGTTGTTTAGTCTTCATTTAATTTTTAGCCCTTCCTTCAAAGGCCTTTTATTAAATATAATTTTTATTGCATTTTAGTTGGTAAAGAATGTGTTTAATATTTGTTTTTCTGTATTTGTGAAATTTTTATGCCCTACATGATATTAGAGATTTTTGGCAAAGATGCCTAATATAGCAGAAATATAAGTATACTCTTTTCTATTTTCAATTAGTAATGCCAGAAATATTTTCAGGTCTTTATTTTTCCTGTTTCTCTTTTGGTTAGATTTGACTAAGTCTGAGAGGGATACACTGAAGTTCTCAACTCGTAATTTTATGGTCTTATTTCTTTCTGTAAATCAGAACTCTTTAAGTATTTAGATGCTATATCATTCAGTATGTATATGTTTATTAATATGTTAAATATTGGTTTTCTGCATTGCCTTTAAGCATAATGTAGTTTTGCTCTTTGTCTCTTTTAATCATGTCTATTTTTACTGTTAACTTGTTTGAGGTTGTGATTGTTACCCATCCTTTTTTGAGTTCACTTGAAGCATATAAATTTTCTCCATCCAGCCCTTTAATTTCACTTCCTGAATGTGTTTGAAGTATGTTTCTTGTAAACAACATATTATTGTATTGTACTTTCTAATTTGTCTTATGGATGGATTCCTCCCATTCACATTTACCGTCATGATTGTTAATTGCAGTGGAAAACTTGTCAAAAATATGAACCTTTGATACAGAGATGCTCAGGGTCATGAAAAGCACTGTAATTTACCAAAGGCAGTCCATTCAGATTTTTTCCTTCTGTTCAGTTATAGGATTGGCTTCATTGTTTAGCTCTAGTGTCTAGCCTGGACAATAGGCATTCTTTATTCACTTGGTTTGTTCTCTTCTAGGCTAAAGAAGCAGCAGAAGGATTGATAGGTAATGTAATTTCATTAGGATATTCCCAAAGTCCATATGCAGTTATATGAAATTGTTTTATGGACCAAAAATGTCAAATGTGCCTCGTGCATAAACTGTTTCTGGGGAATAATGAAGGCTGCCAGAAACCTTTACCAGATTACTAAAGGCAGAAATTTGGAAAACACTACTCTGGCAGTTATTGTGTGAGGAGAACATTACTCATTCCTTCCCTTTCCTATTTTAGATTGTGGGGTATGTGGCTCTACTAGGGAAACAAGTCGAAGCTGTTTTTATGTGATAAGATATCAGCCCCTTCTGTTGGACTTTGAGTCCTGTTTCTTTTGGGGGTTTATCTAAAGATGATCTCTTTGGGTACTAGAGAGGATTAAAGAGAAGGCAGTGAGCTTTAGAGACATTTCTGTTTTGTTATGTCATTCTCCCTTTCTGCAAGTCCTTTCTCTCACTTATCTCTCACTTTTTTAGATCCTTTAACTTTTTCCAAGTCTTTCTGCCTTTTGATCTCATATAATTATATAATGTAAGAGTTAGAGCTCATATAATTAAACCTTTTCATTTTATAAAAGAGGAAATCTCATGATTACTCCATTGGGAAAAAAAAATCTTAACCTCACTTTGCCTTTCCTCCAAGCACTCTATCATTCATACTTTTCACTGGCTAAACTTTTAAATTTGTAGCAGCTTCCTCCATTTATTTACCACTCCACTTCCACCTTGACAGTTTTACTTCTGTCCTCACCATTCAGTAAAAACTATCCTCTCTGATATTGCTAATGAGTCAGAAAACCTCTTCTCAGTTTGCACTTGAGTTGTGCTCCTGCCATTGATAGCTCCTTGTCTGTTACTTTGGCTTCTTTTAGCTCTAGGTTTTCATAATATATATTTTTTTAACTTCTGGGATTTTATTTGGGTGGAGGGGTTGGGAAGTAGGAGGGGGTAGTAGTTTTCCTTATCTTTTATTTGCTACAATTTTCCAAAATTTACTTCTAGATCTTATATTGTTCTCCCTCTCATGTTTGTTCTCTTTGGTTGATTTATCTTCTCACATGATTTTAACTGTCTCCAGTAAGCAGCTGACTCTCAAATCATCATAAAGATCATCTCAAGGGTTTGAGAAGAAATTATCTTGAGCAAGTAACTTGACCTTTCTGGGCCTCCATTATTTTCATTTATGAGTGTTCATTTACATAAAAGAAGCTAATAGGTAATCTCTAATCTCTTAGAATTCTAAACCTACAGAGAGAGACCTTACTTTTAAGGGTTGTCTTCTTAATCCTTTGTGTTGAAGAATTCTCATTAGAGGCAGCAACCTTCTAATTGGTCTTCCTGCTTCTTCTAGTCTCTTCCTTTCTATTTTCTACCCAGTTGCCAGATTGACGGTCAATGAAGAACCATTAATTAGGTGCCTACTGTGTTCCAGGTATTGTACTAAGTGCGGGAGATAAAAATATTATAAATAAAATAATTTCTCCTACTAATGAAACAAATTCCTTATGCTCAAGAATTTTATGTTTTAATGGGAGAAAACAAAGACATACAGAATATATACAAAGAGAATAAAATAAGTATAAAGTAGTTAAATATTCTGCACGATGCTGTTGGCACCAGATTGTGTGGGTGCCTAGTTATATTTTGAAAATAGGTGTAAATCTCAAATTGAATCAATAGTCAGTGGAACACACATTGAGGAAAACTCAATTTTGAGGGTGCCTTGAGAGAGTTTCCTGATGTCAGTGATAGCATAATGAAACAGAAATTCTTCCTAAGGAGGTATTCAGATTGTTTTTGGTCAGTTCTTTGGAGGGAGAGAATTGGACAAAGAGAATTATAAATTAAATCCAAAGCAGTCAAGAGGATTCATTTTGGTTTCTTACACTACCAACAGGAATGTTGAACAGAAATACGGGGATCAGAGCAGTAGTCTCTTCTGCATCTAGGCCCTTTGACCTAGTCCATGAAGGCTGTAGGGGATTTAATCAACCTCTTTCTCAGTTTTCCTGTCCCTTTAACTAGAAAGTTGTTTACCTTCCTAGGACCATGCTTTTTTTGGACCAACCACATTTGCTCTATCATGCTCATGTTTCCTGTATTTCCTAGCATGGTTTTTTTTTTTAAGATTTCGGAGTTTCTACTTGCTGTTATCTATCATTTCTTATTCATTTGGGTATGTCCCTAATCTAAAGGGTATTTTTGTAGAGTTATAATAATACTGCTTTAAAGAATGAATGTTTCAGTTATGGTCATTTGATTTGTAATGACATTTACTTTAGAGCACTCATGTTAATAACAGTGTTCTTCACTTTCTCCCTCCTAGTTTCTCTTTGTGGCCAGATGGGTTTGCATGGACAATCCTGTCCATTTGTAACTTCATCAAGGTGAGTATAATTTTCAGATTATGGTATTAAGTAGTACTTAAAATATGGTTTGGGAATATTTTATATACAGATTTTGTTTTAATGGGATTATTTTATTTTAATGGGCCATTGGTTGGTATTTGGAAATATTTTATTTATAGATTTTGTTTTAATGGGATTCAGTTTAGTGAAAATTTTCTTGTTCAAAATGTAATCAGCTTGTTTTTTTTCGTTAGCGAATATCATCCTTTTTTACTTATAATTTTTTACTTCAAACCTTTACACAGGTTTAAATTAGAAAATACATAAACTTAATTTGGATTTTTAATGCAGTAAGTTAACATTAATAGGTAGCAGTTACATAGCACTTTAGGATGTACGAAGCATTTTATAAAAATTACCTTACTTTTATATGCAAAATAACGTTTGGCAGGCAGGCATTATTATTATTCCCATTTTACAGAGTAGGAAACTGATGCAGACAGGTGAAGTGACTTGCCCAAGGTGAAACAACTCAGCAGTGTCTAAGCCAGTTTTAAACTTAGGTTTTCTGGACTCCAGGTCCAGGCTTTATCTAAGAGCTGCCTCCTAGCTGCTTCTGGTTATTAAGCTATCCCAGAGAGTGTTAAATTTAAACTTGCTTCTTTTTAGGGCAGTGTACTCTTAATATACAGACATCCTGAGTTTTGAACTAAGTTCAGTCTTAAACCCTCTGACTTTCAAAATATATCAAATAGGGAATGAATTCTTATAAAACTGATAACTTTTAACTTAGGGAAATTTTAATTAGGCTATATCATGCTAGATGGTGGCACGTACTGATCACATATGATATCGCAAGCTGCTTTATTAGGCACTGTAGGTACTCACAGGCAGGCTGTGGAGGAAGGGATTAAGTTTCTGGAGGCATTAAGAAAAATATCTGTTGTCTAGAGCAAAGGTGAAATTTGGTGTACTATGTTCATTTCTTAGTACCACATTAAGGATAAACGTGGGCAAGCTAGAATTTATTTAGAGTTAAGAATGTAACTAGGATAATGTCAGTACTAGAGAACATGTCATACAAGCATCAATTGAGGGAATCAGGGATGGTTAGACTTGAGAAGGGAAGACTTAGAGAGAGTTGACTATAAGTCTAGGCAAGCATAATGTTGTTGGTATACAGTTACAACCAACATGGTCAGAGACTGGTCACCATTTTGTCCTTTTTTTTTCTGTTTTTGGCAAGAAGCTTTTTACTTCTTGTTGAGGGAGTACATTTCTTATTGGGAAGTCACTTAGGCAATAAATATTTGTTAAGCATTTACTATGTACCAGGCACTATGCTTGAGAGCTGGGAATGTAAAAAGAGGCAAAAGATAATCTCTGCTCTCAAGGAGCCCACAGTATGATGAGGAGAATCACTTTGTTCAGTATAGAAAATCATGGATTATTAAGAGTTTGAAGGGAATGTAAAAGACCAACTGAGACTAGTACCTTCATAGTATAAATAAGGAAATCGAGGCCTACAGAGGAAGCGAATGGCCCAAGGTTGCACAGCTAGTAGTTAGTGGCACTAAGATCTAATCATGGCTTTTTCTTTTACACTTAACCTCGATTCTTTTCTGTATGTGTGTGAAGCAAAAAGTACTAGTATAGCACTGAAAAAAGACCTTGTATATGTAAAGTATATTAAAGGCCAAGGAGCATAATTTCTTTTTATCTCCCTTTGCTCTGAAGCTGTTTTGGGGAATAACTAAAGTTATTGGTTGCAGTATGACCTGTTTATAGGTTGAAGGGTATTGATGCAGCCTAAATATTTAATATTTTCTTAAGTATTTTGAACTACCATTTCAGTTAGCATATCATTGATAGGATATCTTATAACTTTAAGTCCCCCACTGGCTTAAGTCTTCTTTCTAAACACTTAATGGGGGGGGGAGAGAAAGAAGAGAGAGAGAGAGAGAGAGAGAGAGAGAGAGAGAGAGAGAGAGAGAGAGAGAGTGTGTGTGTGTGTGTGTGTGTGTGTGTGTGTGTGTAAGAAAACTGAGGGGAAAAACCAGATATTAAGCTTCTTGACAGAGATTTCATCTATTTTACTTGAACATTTATCATAAGGTATCCTTAAGTTCAAGTTAAAAGCTTGTATGACTTTGGTTAGTATTACTATTCATGTAATTATTTGCCTCATAGAATCATTATTGGAAAGGGTTGTGAGTGAGACTTTGTTCTAGTCCCCTTTTTGCACTGACAGAAAAAGTACTCATATCACATGATCATGAGATAGATTCTTTTTGCCATTTACTCACTGTATTATAACTTTTTCTATGTAATATTATATTCTAAAACTATTCTGGGTTTAATCCCAAATTTAACATTTAATTTGTAAATGGGAAAGCCTTGAAAAATGAGTCCCAAGGACTGATTTCTGTAATTATGATAATATTTCTGTCTCGTGTTATTATGTTTCCAGACCATTTGGGTTGAGGATAAGAACAAAGGGGTGGAAGTAAAGAGAAGAGTAATTTAGGGGAAGGGAGTAATATAGTTACTATTTTCAAACCCCCTGATGTGAAATAGCCCTGTCCAAATAGGCATCAGACATATGAAAGTAAAGTTAGAATACTTGAAGTAACTTGAGATGCTTTCATGATGTGCGTGTGTATATTCTCACAAACACAGCTACACACATCTACCCTTTATGCAAAAGACAACAAGTAAAATATAATTTTTAGTGCCAAAGAAGTCAAGTGTAAGACTCAGGAAATGACAAGTTGGGTAAGATAAGGGCGAGGGTACAGCTGTAAATGGTTGGCAAAGGGATTGATTACTTGAGTTACATATAGGAGAAAGTAGAGGCTAAATGCAGTAAAGATAGCATGTGAGCTGACAGGAGAGAGGGATTGGCCAGTGAATTAAGCTCCATTTTTCTCAGAATTTGGGGAAACCTTTAATTCCTTCAAATGGTATTGGATATTAACTCGTTTTTATTACTTTTGGGTGGGATAATTTCATGCCATTGGGAAATCTGGGTGTGGAATTTTGGAAAAAAAAAACAACAACCGAAAACTTAAGTTTTTTTGTCCTCTGTTTAAAGGAATGATTGAGACCAATGGAAAAGTGATAGGTGTTATTTTCTTTACAAAATTGCTCTTGGCAGCACTTTATTCTTTCATTAGATATAGGTAGTGTCCCACTTATAATGTCTGGTTCTATGTAATGAAGGTATTTCTATGACAGGAGGTACATAGCAATTCTATTTTAATAGGTCATTCTTAGACTATTAAAATTGGATGAAACCTTAGAGGTCATCTAGTCCCAATACCCTCATTATACAGAAGAGAAAATTGGTAACCAGAGAGGGGCAGTGATTGCCCAAGGTTGCATGGTTAGGGATAATTTCTTTACATGAATAGAACAAATTCAGTTTGATAAGAAATCCAATGTAATATGTCACATATGCTTAACAGGGGGTAGTATCTTTTTGGTATATGACTCATATGTGGTAAGTTTTGAATACTTGTATGATGTTGAATGATCACCAGCACATTTTGAAAAACTTATTAAGACTAATATCCAGATGTAGTATTTATAGTATATGTACCTAAATAAAAATAATCTGACAAGCCAGCAAACAGTACAGCCTGCCATTCTATACATTGACTTTCCCTTTTGATAAGTTTTAGATACTTTGAGACTTTGAATCTGGGAGTTCATTGATGTCCACATTCTCTTAGCTGATATAGATGGTCTTCCCTCCAACCCCTCTACTCCCTCATACCTTCTCTTTTGGAGTGATTTTTAAAGGGATAGCTCCTTAATTCTTCTAGGATACAATGTAAATTGCAAAGATTGGCTTCTAAAGCCCTTCATAACCTGGCCCCAGGTTACCTATTCAGTCTTGGCATATGTTCTTGCACTCTGTTTCTCCTAGTATACTTTTCTTGACCACTGTAGTTCAGCCAAACTGCCCTTCTTGCTATTCTTCACACAGTGCCCTGTCTCTTGTTTTCATTCACTGGCAGTGGTAGTCCCCCATGCCTGTAGTATACTTTTTTTCCTACTCTTGGAATCCTTTATTTTCATCAGAACTCAACTCAAGCACCACCTTCTACATGAAACTTTTTCTGATCTCCCCAGTTGCTGTTGCTAATGTTTCCCTGCCTCTAACACCTTGTAATTTGTGTATACATATGTGTATATGTACAGCCTGCCTTCTCTGATAGAATGCTGGTGAAGACAAAGACTTTCTTTTTCTTTATATCCCAGGACCTACCACAGTAGATACATAATAAAAGCTTGTATATTATTTTTTTCAGCAGTGTCTTTCAATAATCCTCTGTGGAAGATCTACCCCAGTGCCTTGGAGGTCTTGTATTTTAACATCTTGGGAGTTGTTGTAGTAGTTATTGAAGCTTTTCACTTGTGACCAACTCTCCTTGACCCATTTGAAGTTTTCTTGGTAAAGATACTGGAATGGTTTGCCATTTCCTTCTCCAGCTTATTTTACAGATGAGGAACTGAGGCAAAGTGGGTTAAATGACTTGCCCAGGGTCACATAGTAAGTGTCTGAGGCCACATTTGAACTCAGGGGTACACCTGACTCCAGGGCTGGCGCTCTAACCACTATGCGATCTAGCTGTCCATCTTGGGAGTTACCAGTGGACTATATTGTCCTGTCACACATTTCTCATTTGAATACCATTAGCAATTTTGTTTACCCTTTGCTTGCTAAATTTGATTGATTAAAGGAATGACACTATGAGATGTAGACTGTCTTGTCAATGCCAGCCTTGTCACAAAGGAGTCTTGTCTCCACATGTAGCCTTGAAATTTATAGACCTATTACTTCCAAAGAGTTAGAAATGGGGTCTTCATTTTAATTATTTCTTATCAGCTTTAACTTTATTTAAAAAATAAACAGCAGAATAATAACCATCTCTATAATGTTTTTCTGTTCTTGTGTTTGAACGCCTCCATCACAGTCTTACTGCAATGTCTCATTGTGGCATATGGTCTTGGGTCATTGACAAACTTTGGCA